CCCTACACCCTAAACCCCCTAAAGCCATATAAGCCAAGGAGCTCCTGAAGCATCTTTGGTGTAGAAGCCCTCTCCCAGGAAGCCGGTGGTTCCGATGAAGCCTTACTGAAGGGTTTTAGGGTTTTTTTAGGGTGTTTAGGGTTTTTAGGGTTTTTAAGGTTTTTAGGGTTTAGGGTTTTTAGGTTTTTAGGGTTTAGGGTTTTTAGGGTTTAGGGTTTAGGGTTTAAGGCTTAGTTTGAGCTTGGTCTCTGGCTTTCGGGTTTACGCCGTGTTCAGGGTTCAGGTTTGAAGGTGTTGAAGTAGTCTAATCATCTTTTTAGCAATAACGAACCTCCCACCTTATTAGTATAAGCTACTCCCCTTGTGGTATTAAAAAGAGTATTAAATAGTAAAGTGGGAAATACATATGAACCCGGCGGGTGCCCGGTTTGGAACCTTGAGCTTATAAACATGCAATCTGCAGGTTCAGGAAAATCACAACTACATTATAACCGCACATATAACCAGGTTATGAGCCCCCTAGAGGCTTTTTGAATGGCTATCGTTGGATGAAAAGTACTAGTCAGAGTTGGGTTATAATTATCCCAAGATTTAAATCCCGCACACAGACAAACTGCAATTCCTGCAACCCATGTAAAGGGATCCTAAAAACCCAAACCCCTAAAGCCTGAACCCCTAAACCCTTTAACCCTAAACCCTAAATCCCTAAAACCCTAAAGCCTAAACCCTAATCCCTAAACCCTTCAACCCTACCCCAAATCCTAAACCACTAAACGCTGAACCCCTAAACCCTGAACCCCTTAACCCTGAACCCTAAACCCTCTACCCTGAACCCCTAAACCCCTCAACCCCTCAACCCCAAACCCCTAAACCCTAAACCCTAAACCCATAATAATTGGATGTTACCGGAAGTTGCGACCAGGAAGCGGTTGATGCCAGATCCATAGGCAAAGGCCCAGCCAAGAATCCTTTCTCTTGGGAAAAGGGATAGTTTGGGGTTAAGGGTTGAGGGGAAAAAGACATAGACCCCAAAATCCTACAATCCTGATTCTATAAGCCCCACATAGGGACCAGCAATCCATGGAAACCCCAAGTAGGCTGAGCTTTACGTCTAACGTTTGGGGTTCAGAATTGGGCGTAGGGTTAAAGCTCCGGAAGTCCTTCGTGAGATAGACATCTCGCAACAGCTAAAAACTGTTCTCTCGGGGTCCGGAGGATGAAAACTGTTCGCAAGAAAAGCTGCTAAGCCCTAAACCCTAAACCCTAAACCAAGGGCCTAGCTCCAGGACTTTGGGGTTGAATGAGTCGAGCACTTTTATTTCTGGAGCTCAGGGCTGACAAACCGACCACATATAGTCCCCCTTAAGTAGATAGAATATGGCCCTTGGGAATATTGTGATAGGAGCCCTATATACCCCATATTCTATCTACTTAAGGGGAACTAGACTTAAGCCGGGAAACCACCAGCCAAGGGTGCCGACGCACACGTTCACCAAATTCTTCATCAAGACGTTCGAGGCATTCTTGGAGCGGCAGCAACCGGTCTCCAGCATGGCAAATCCAGCATGCATGAACCTTGTCGACGCTGCATGTGTGTGAAAAAATCAGCCACCCTTGAATTAATTTTCCGTTTTGGATAGGATGGAAAAGGTTTTATACATTCGACGCATTCACAGTTAAAGCCAGGTAAAATGAGCGAAAGGAAACTGAAAAGTTGTCGCACGGGCCCTGCGCAATATTCGTAACAAAAGAGGCAACGGCAGCAGCAGCAGCAGCTGTAAGAAGCTGCTGCTGCACGTTTAGGCCTCCCCCCCAACACTGGAGGGCTCGGCCCTTGACGATTTATAGTCCCCCTTGAGTAGATAGAATATTATGGCTACATTATTGGGTTTATATAGGGATAATGGAAAAGAAAATGGAAACTACTATTTAGGGTTTAGGGTTTAGGGTCCCCCTTAAGTAGATAGAACATGGCTTTATAATAAGAACACCATATACCCCATATTCTATCTACTTAAGGGGGATTGTGGTTTAGGGTTCAGGGTTTAAGGAAAATGTGGTCACTTGCACATACCAAACCTAGTACTTCGCGTCAACGCCTAGCACTGAAAACATAATAATCCTACGACCTACTGGTTCTTAGAAGGGAATCAGGGAATTTAATCCCCTGTTAAGCCCTATACATACTATATCATATATTCCCCAATATTCACCTATTTATTCCAAAGAACCAGTATAAGAACATTCTCAAGAGTTTGACGGTTCACCCTCAAGACCACCCCACGCAGTGCCAACCCTGCCCGGTTCGTGTCAAGATGGACCCAACTAACTTCTTGGTGGTCGGTGTAGGGTTTAGAGTTTAATTTCAAGGTTCAAGGTTTAGGCTGACTTAGGCTTTAGGGTTCTCAAGGATCCAACTAAATTCTTGGTGGTCGATTTAAAAGGTCAGGGTTGGCTTAGGGTTCTCAAGGATCCAACTAACTTCTTGGTGGTCGGCTTAGGGTTTAGGGGTCTCAAGGATCCAGGTAACTTTTATGGGTGGTCGCTCGGCAATGGAAGAGTGAAATTTTATGCTAGTCCCTATACAATCCTTGTTGACCGTCCCCACAGCCTACGCCTTCCCTACTGAACACCAGGAAGCTAACAGAACCTAGTACCAACCGCGGTGTAGGAGCATGACCAGGGCGCCGCACAAGCAAAGCCAAAGGCTGTCCATGGCCGCGGCCATGCTTCCGTCCGTAGCTTCCTGGGTCTTTCTGCGAATGGCTTCCTTTTCGAGATAATATCAAAACATAATTCTATCAGGTCAAAAAAGCAGACATGCCCTGAACGTGGCTAGGCCTACGGGTTTTGGATTCAAGGTTTTGGAGGTTTTGGGCTTTGGGCTAGGTACTTCTCAAGCGAATGTCTGTGCGACAATCAAAGAAAAATCCGTATCACTTTTGATACCACTGTCACTGTTGCTTGCCGCAACTGCTACATAGCATCATATGCTCTTCCAAGCACATCCTGGGTCTTCTTTGAGGGCACCCACCCAAGACGTAGTCTCAATAGGTTGACAATTCAAAGTGGCTTATGGGCCAAAGCTTACACCACCCCCCTGAAGATTCATTATGCCTTCTTAGATGAGTTACAACACATTCAGGGGCAAACCCATTGGAAGACTGTCAAGACGGTTGTGCTAAGAGAACCCCTAGTGTAGGTTTGGTCTCAGGTCGGCAGAGCAGGAGCAGGAGAGGAATACGGGGGGGGATTGGGTCTAGGGTTTATGACCTTTTTAAAGTTTCAAATAGGTGGTTGTCAAAATTAT